GTGTGTGGGTGCGGCAGAAAGGCCAAATTCCATCCTAGACATAATTAAGGAACTGAAAATACAGTGCCAGTATCATACTGCCATTATGTGAAAGATGGTGAATTGATAATTGCAGTATTATGTATGGTTCTGGTATCTATTATGTACTTTTTTAAAGGATATTGGAGAGCTGGAAGTGGTGCGAAAAGGGGGCAATTAACATGATCAAGGGGCTGCAGCAATTCCCCGAACAGGAAGCTTACAATGTCTGGAACTGTTTAGTTTAGAAAAAAGCAAGTATGACAGAGATGCAGACAGTTCTATATGATGTGGGAAAAGTGGTGAGCGAGCCTCCATTTTCCCTTTCATGTAGTACTAGATCCCGGTGGAGCCAGCCCAGGAAAGGGAAGGCTTCTCTGCAGAGCGGGCAGGCTGGAATTCGCCACTCCAAGTTGTAGCGGCAGGCTCCGGAGGGTTGAAAATGGCGCTGGACTAATTCATTCAGTTGCACTCCCATCCTGCTCGTGGATTTCAGTGAGCAGCTGGCTGGCTGCTGTGAAAACGGGTCTCTGGACGAGAGGGACTTCTCGAGTTCTTGCTTGTTTTTCAGAAGTCCGGTTATTATGTCTCATGAACAGGAGATGCTAACTTGGCACGGACACGGGACAGAAGCTTTTCCAGGGCAACAAACTCCATTCAAACTCTCCCCCCATGAAGGTCAAATTGCCCCATCTTTGCCTAGCTGAGGACAGGCTGTAACGATGGCTTTATTTCCATTGCTTTTGGATGGATTATGTTCTGATCTCCGGATTTTTAACAGGTGGCTTGCTCTCTTCTTAGTCTGATTGTTTTGTTGGAGAAGTTATATATGGGGTTGGGGGTTCTTTTGGGCAGAAATGCAATTTGTAAGTATTGATTAACCTAAATAAAACTTGCCCTATCAACCTATGAAGGGTTTACATATGAAACAAACAATTGATCTGTTTATTATTTAGTTTTTTATTTAAAACATTGGTAAGCCACCCAGTTGTGCCACAGCACCTCTTCGTGGCTCACAACACAAGATAAAAACACAATAAAAATAAAAACATAATAAAAACCATTAACACATTAAAAACAATAAAATACAGCAAAACATCCAAAACAAAGGCCGATGGCAATTAGTTATTAAATGTTTTTTAAGGAAGGCGTTCATGATCTTCACAGCTGTGCTAGTATCTAACTTTGCTTTCAATGTATTTCATAAATCATTCACCAATGCTTTTCAGATGATTCTTCAACAGGCTGCTAAACACAGGCCGACGAAACACTGTGAGCACAGACACACTTGGTTTTCATAGAATCATAGAATAGTGGAGTTGGAAGGGGCCCTGAAGGCCATCTAGTCCACCCTCGGCTGTTGCAGGACACCAAGTCACACCACCCCACTCAGAGGGCTGCCCAGTTTCACCTTGAATGCCCCCAGTGTGGGAGAGCCCCCCACCTCTCCAGGCAGCTGGTTCCACTGCCGTCTTGCTCTGACAGGGAGGAAGCTCTTCCTGATGTCCAGCCTGAATCTGGGTTGCCGCAACTTGAACTGCTTATTTCGTGTCCTGCACTCCGGCATCAGCAGGAAGAGATCTTGACCTTCCTCTTTGTGACAGCCATTGAGGTCCTTATGGAGGGATCTCATGTCCCCCCTCAGTCTTCTCTTCTCAAGGCTGAACATGCGCAGTTCTCCGTCTCTCCTCACAGGGCAGCGTTTCCAAACCCTGGATCATTTTTGTTCGGAAACACTGCCCTATGAGGTTTTGTGCTGCTGTAACAGCAATCAGGCCTGGTAGAGGACCCTAACATTAGCAAGGCTTTTGAACACCAAGCCCAAATAAATGCTCCATCAGCTTTGGGCCTCTTTCTCATCTAAAGTTCTGTCCTGTTTACATATCAATTTCCAACTATAAAAAAGACTCCAAAGATTTCATCATATATACAATTAGGACACAAATTTGCCTAATGTACACTTTTTTGCAAGCCATTTTTCTTATTAAAAGCTTCCTTCCTTTTGTCTTTTTTCCAGTAACATCAATTGTTGCTTGGGCAAAAAGCTGCTTATGCATTTCCTGTCCTGCTTATGGGTTTCCTGTTGGCAGCTAGTTGGACACTGTGCAAACGGAATGCCAGACAAGATAGACGTCGGTCAAAGCATAAGGGCCCTTATGTCTGTATGGTGTGTGCACTTTGCCCTTATACACCTTGCGCTTTGTGGACAATTTTCTGGTTTTTTTTTTTTTTTTGTTGAAAACTACATCATACAATTCTGAGTAGTGTGCGTACAGACAGATCACTTTATTCCAGTTCGTAAAGTGATTCAGCGAGTGCAAACTCAACAAGCTGGTGCTTATCAAAATGCATACGAAATGATGCATTCCTCTGCAATGATGCATTCCTCTACATACGAAATGCATTCCTCTACAATAAGCCATCCTGATACTCAAGCTGGCACCTGCACATGGCTTTAAAGGAGCTGATAATCAACATCACTGAACCCTGTACTCCTCAATTACACATCTGCATTGTACACTAGGTAGGAGAGGATTCCAGAAGACGTGATTATGCCTTCGCTACCTATGATCTGGCCCATTTATGTCCTCAGCACTTCACCATCTGCTGCAGCAGCACGCAGAGACGAGGCCCTGCACCAGCGCAGGATTGTGTGGCATTTGGGCAGATCCTTTTGACAATCGGAGTTCATCAAGTGCCGTGTCAAGGGAAACTCAGCCACCTGTATGTGTGGCTGTGCATATGTGCCTGTTAAGGCAAGGGAGCGCATGGAATGCAGATGATTTTGGTCAGTGCTGGGCACTTTCCACGCATGCACCAAAATATTTAATATGGTTTAACTTGGTCTTCTCCACAGAGCAGGGGGCTGGACCCAATGGCCTTCTGGCCCGTTCTAGCTCTACTATACCACAATTCTACTATTTTCTCTTTTTTCAGACCCAGAGCTCACTTTGACCTCCTGTTTGTTAACTCAACTGTGCTGCCTTCTCTCCCTTTTTGTCTTCTCATGGTCTTTCTTTGCTCACAAGAAAAGCCTGACCAACAAAAAAGGTGATGTCAATGCAGATCTTCAGCTGCGGGGATCTAAGATCCACCTGATGAAGAGTCAAGTTGTCACAACAGTATCTTTAAAACATCCTTAGCCCTGCCTGCACAGCTAAACATCGAGTCTCTAACCCATCTTTCAGGGGAAAAGTGCAGCTAAGGGTGGTCTGTAACAATTAGCAACTGACCCAATCCCATAAAAACTTAGAAACAACAAAGGAGCCCCCAAGCACAAGGTCCAGCGGCTTCCCTGGATCTGAAAGGTAGAAAGGAGCAGTATCACTGGCACACTCATGTCACTTTAGCCAACCTCCAGGTGAGTTTCATGGCGATGTTAAAAAGCCTGGGAGGCAGGATGGAATCCTGCTACTCAAATCCATGGGATCTACACGGGCCTCCAAAGACACTATCCCTGAAGGAGCCACTGGCCACCTTGGACGTCCAGCTCCTTAGCCCAGGTAGTTTGCAAGCCAGGATGGCCAGGGAGCTGGCACACCTCAGTCCCCCCAGTCAGCAGGACATTTCAGCTTCCCCTCCATCGGATTTCAGGTGGCTGTTTTATGCCCACTTACATAGGAGCTGCCCCGATGTATTCGGTGGGGTTTGGATCCAAGCAAGCATGGGCTTCTGCAGCACCGAAGCATGCCTGCGTCCTCCTCCTACTTGCAGGGAGTACTTCCCAGAGGACGGCTGCTCCAATCCTAACCGTCCGGTCACGACTTGCGCCGAACCCACTCGCCTAGGCTCTGCGACCGGCGCTCCTCCAGCCCGCTGCCTTTCGGCCCTTTCTCCACTGGAGGGCAGCAGCAGCTAAGCCGGTTGCCGCGGACACGCGCCTCGGCCGGCTCCTCCCCTCCACGTCAGTCAAAATAAACCCCGAGGCGGGCTTTAAGCCCCGCCCCCTGCCCTCTCGCCCTATCCCGTGCTTCCGTTGCTGCCGCTACCGCGCGTGCAAGATTAGCCCCTCCCTCATTTTCAGACCCGTGTACGAAACCATCGTCCGAAGCTGTTGCTGTGGCGGCTTCCATGACATGCGGAGGAACAAAATAATTCGTTCCCAAGTGCAATAAAATGCCAGCGAAGGAAGGGGAATGCCAGGGGCAGAAGGACTCTGTTTCCCCCCACAGCTCCCCAGAACACGCGTATCCCAATTCACACGCTTCGTTGCTCGAATTCGGAGCGCGAAACGGCGGGGGTGGCACATAATCGACTCTCCGGCGACACGGAGCATGAACTCGCTGGAGCGCCAGGGAGGCGGGCTGCGAAGGCGCGCGGCGCCTCACCGTCGCCGGGGCTCTGCGGAGCCCCTTCGCGCCCTCGCCCGCCATCCCGTGCCCTCGCGCGCTAGCAGGGGTCGCCCGCCCAGGGTGACGCCGCGATCCGGTCTCGCTCGTGTCGCCTTCCTCACGGCACCCCACGGGCCCGGGAGCACGCGGCGCCTCCGGGCGGGCGGGCGAGGGGCGCGCGCTGCTGAGCGGCGGCCGCCGGGGAGCTCCGTCCTGCGCTCCTCAGCGCGCCGAGCGGAGGCGACGCGCGGGAGGACGGGAGGCGCGCGGCGCGGAGCCCGTTACTCGCCTCAGCGCGAGGAGGCCGGCGCGGCTCCCGCCGAGGCGACGCCGGGCGTCCCGCCCCCGCGCTTCGCACACCCCGCCTCGGGCGGCCTCGCGACCCGTTATCCGCGCGACCTCCGCCCCCCCGCCCCCCGCCGGGCGCCCCTCCCTCGGCGCCG